AGCTCGTCTTGACAGTTTCCAACAGCACTTTATTGAAAGCATTTGATAAATGCGATGGAAATTCGGGTGTGAATATTCAAGCACTGGCGACTGAGCTGAAGAAACTGTCAGAAAACAGGAACCGACGCATCACTTAGTTTTAATAAAAGTGCCAAATAAATATATTCGAAACGTTTTTCTGCTTTCAATGTGCACTGTAACTAATCTTCCTCTGGTGAAGAGACGATAAAGTGGAAATGCCTCATGATTAGGGCAGCAAACAATGCGCATCATAAATCTGAAACACTACTTTCAATGGGTCACACGTATAGCAATCTTGATCACTCCAACGGTCAAGCTTTCTTAACCTTAGATAACAATCTAAATATACAACAAAGACGTTCTCAAAGTACGTTCTAGAGACCAGTCCTTGTTATATTCTTTGAGCAACATCCATGCAGTGCAAATGCTAAAAAATTATGGAGCTGTTTGACCTTTAAATAACCCACCGGCTTCAAACGGGAAGGAGAAGGAAGTACAACAATGCCACGGCGGTTAAGCTATTTTAATGCTTGTTGACATATTTAGAGCGTTTTACCAGTTTCTGACGCTTTAGACAAAGTAGGTTCGACAACGCGGCTTCAGAAATGCTACTAGTGACGGTCAATGTCGCATTTCGACAACTAAAGATTTGCGATTGGCGTAATGAATGATAATAAGTGATGCAATGCACTGCATGTAATAAAATATTTATTAATCTTGGGCTTTCTAAATAGATAGATATTTGGTTGATATATAGGTGTTTGGCAGCCACGGATTGGTCGCTGCCATTAGACTGTGTAAATCAGAGAAATTATGCTTTTTTGTATTCGGTTATATACTTTGCATTTTCAGTACTCTGTAAAATGAAATTGGATGGAGGATTTTTAATCACTGGCAGAGAGTTTACTCATCTTCGATTAGCTGACAGAAATGAAGGCGAAAGACGTAGAATCCACACTGTATGAGCTGAAATTAAAGCATAAGCAAGTTTGACTTCGAATAAACAAGGCGAAGACGAGGATAATGAGAAATGAATTCGCCCAACTAGTAACAGTGAACGTTACCCATTACTGAACAGAAATCACCATAATGTCCACTGAGAACAACTAATCGTGTCAGACCATTCCCGTAGTCTACAGCACACTAGAAAGCGCACTGCGGCGAGAAATACTTATCGGAGAATCGCTGACATTGTTGAAATCAGAAAATTATCAATTGCAGTTAAAATCACATTGTACAAACGCACGGTATTGCCAACGGCTCTATACGGCTGTGGGATCTGAGCCTTAACAAAAGGAATGAAGCACTGCTACGAGTGCAGCAGCGAGTTATGAATGGAAGGACTGTCAGAGTTTGCATCAGGAGCCAGCTGCGAAACAAAGAAACAAAAAGACGCACAAGAATGCGGGACGTTTTATTAAGTTCAGTGAAAAAATGTTAAGTGACAAATCACACGATTGACGGATGACCGATGGACTTTGGCAATGACCACTGGTACCCAAGGGGCTGCAAGTGTCACACTGGAAGACCTCGACTTAAATGGAACGATGAGCTAAAAGAGACCTATGGAAGCTTGTGGCGACTAATGGTACAAGAGAGAGAAGATGGCCATCAACATCGGCGGGAAATATGAAGAAAAATATAAAGAACGATCAGTAGAAAATGTCAAGAATATACATAGCATTATGTTATTAAAGCCCTTCTTCCCCGCTTAATGCCGCCAGTATGGGACATTTTAGTTAGACGTTTTGTGACAATAGAGAAATCTGAATTCTTTAGCTGAAAAATTATTAAATGTCAATAATTATGATTTTAACCACACAAATTCTGGTTAATCACTAGAAAAGCCTATTTAATTAGCATAAATGAAATACAACGTCGGAAACAACCGAATGGTCAAATACGCATCAGCCGTATATAAACTATATAACTGTAGTAGGCGGAAACACTTTCGTTTTGTCATTCCGCTCAATAGAACGACTGTGCAGAAATGATCACCGTAAACTCTGGACTGTTGTGCAAGGCAACATCAAAATTTTAATGAACCTGTTACGGTGGTACCAAATTCCTGGAGCTGAACAGAACGTCAGCTAGTCTGCTATATCGCCAAACCTGCGAAAGCACAGGAGGGCCATTTCGACGTTTCTGATATATAGTCATACCTTTCGTTATACTGAGGTTGTTCGTTGGTAAAGCATCTGACACAGAACCGAGAGGTCCTGAGTTAGAAATGAGGTTGGAGAACGTGCCTTTCTTCCGTTTAAGATTGATAGTGAGTACAACTTTGAACTCGAAACAGAACGCAACATTACAGAGTGGTCACAAAACCGTAGATATACTCT